AAAGTATCTTTGCAGCCCTGGTTCAAATGCATGTCAGATTGTGTTCTGGGACTATGCTACTGCACTTATATGCATGTACAGCTGGAGTTTAACAAGTGCAGTGACTTTCTAAAAAGTCTGCTAACCTGTCCAACAGTGGATTTAAAAAAAATTTTCTTTGCTAAAGGTAAGAAATCAATACCCTCTTCAGGCAGTCCAGAAGTGGAACCCTCCCCTGGCTAAATTTAACAAAACTGGGCTGCAAATTGAACTAAATGTCTGGTATATTTATGGAATCTTCTATATTTAAAGTTTCACTCTGAAGAAATATTATTATACAGCCAAGTGCTGCTATTTAAAAAAAAAAACAAAAACGCCTCCTTCCAAGGCATACTCAGCTCTCAAGAATAATATATGTTTATGACTGTCCACATTTCAGGTCAGCTGCAACACATAATTATTATCATAGGTCAGTCACAACTGTACTAAAACCAAAATACATTGTACAGGTATGACTGACTTCAACTGCGTCTCAAACCATTCTTGAGAAGGAAGGGATTAAACTTGCTTTTTGCCTCCTGAGTCGAGTTTTAAGGGCTGATTTTTAAATTTTTTTTTTAATAAACAGTTATCTTGATCTCTAGAAAGTGAAGAAAGATCATATTGGTGTTGTATGATTTTATTTTAGTCCTGGTTTTTCAAAATACCAGGACTAAACATGGTATTGTCATGTTAGTTTGACTGGTTATGTTTAAACAGTGGCCAGGATTCCTGCTGATTTAGGAAAACTTAGAATGGTAAATCTGTCGTGTTAAGGAGCACTGGAAATCCTTGTGGTACAGATAGAAGAATTATTAGTGGGAAAAAAACCTGCCAGCTTCACTAAAAAAATCTGTATTCTCTAATGAAGCTTAAAACTGAACAAGTGTGCTGTTCTGAATGTGAACTTTATAGAATCTGACTCCTTGTGGCAACGTAAAACACTCTAGTCTTTCTAAACTCCTTATACCTCTGTACATGTTAGTTTTTATCAATGCATAGGCTTATGGAGGTTTCTGCACAGGCTTGACTTCTCACTAGTTGTTTCCTTCCTGGCCTTGGGCATAAGTTCAAAATTGTGCATACGAACGTAACTTATTTAAAGCTGAATACTTGGGCTGGTCTGTAATGTTTGGGGCTTGGAAGGAAGGAAATGTGACAGATCTGTATTATAATATTTTCCAAAGACAAAGAGAATTTTGGGGAATTCAAGAAGAGATGTCATACTGATGTCTGCAGGAAAAAATGAAATGGGCAGCAGATGGTGTCTATACACTCAGTAGCAAGGAAGATGATGAAAGCAAATCACTGTAAATTCACCCAAATGTTATTTTTTGTATACATCATAATAAGCACCTTATTAAATCTTTTACCTTCTTTCTTGTCTAAGAGGCTTCTGCAAGTGTCCATATTTCACTATTCTAATTTTCATTAAGGTTGGATTCTGGGTCTCAGGGTAATTCATATTGGTGCAAATTCAAATGCAAAATCAGGATGGCTGGTAAAATCTTGTGAGGTGGTAAAGTTAAGATAGCACATTTCTGAAAGATATGACTGATTATGATTGTGTTAACATGTTCTGAACTTGGTAAATTCCTGAATGAAACACATTAGCAATGGGGGAAGTGCTGACATGGGCTTCTGCCCACAGTGTAGATCTGTGCCAACACTTGGGTGTCTTCACATCTTTCTTTGAAACTTGCTGTTTTTCTACTAGTGTGTCTAGCTCAGCACAATTGTGTTTGGGCTTACTTGAGCCAATACAAACACTACTTAAATGGCAAGGACCAGAAGCAAACAGGGAATTCTGTTAAATCAAATAAAAGATGTTTAAGCAAATATTAGATTTCTGGAAAGGATTGTTTCTTTTTAATAACCAGTGTGCAAACTCATATCCAATTCATGGGTTTTGTCAAGTTGCCAGTGCAAGCCCTCAAGGAGTCTTAAACAAAGATAATACTACTGATATTGTAGTTTCTGGTGTTTAATATAGTTTATTTCTGGTGGGCTTTTTTAAAAGAAGTAAAGAATATTTTCTTAGAAGACTGATCATGCACGTTAAAAAAATTCTCTACAGTGGTAACAAACTGGCCTCTGGAATATGGATAATGACTTTTTTCACCTCGTATATAAGTGAAAAAGGTGCAGTACTGCTTTTATCAGTAGTTTCAACTGTAACAACTTCCTTTTTTCAATTCTAGCCAGCTTTGGACACAAAACATGTGAAGGAAGCAGTATATAGCACGTACTTTTTATAATAATAAGCTTGCTGGTATTTTACTGGCAGTTCAGACTTGTAGGTGGTTCTGTTATTTCTTGAATTTGCCTTGGATGATGACTAGTAGAATTCGGTCGTGTCGCTACACATTGTCATGTTCCTGAATTGCAGTTAATCTACAAATGCCCTGCTGTCAAGTCATTCTTTGTGGAGAAAGAGCTGGATTGCCCTTCTAACAAAACAGCACTTAGAAATAGTTACACTGACTCGATTAACAGCAGGGTATCATCAACTGTAAAGCAATGCTAAGGGACTTTTCAGTGTGTCAAGGTTCCTTGTGTTTGTTGGTGTAAGTGACAAGAAGACCAGGCACTCAATGTGAAAACAGAAATTTGCTGTGCATATTTAAACAACCTTACAAAGGCAAAGAGCTTAATTTACTTTGTTTTTGAATGTGAACGGTCCTGATCTCCCAAAAGGAGACAATAAGAGAAATAACTAACATACACTACTTGATTCATCAGCTGAAAGACCATTATCTAAAGAGCGTGGGCTTGCAGAGCAGGAGGAATAGCAATTATGTGCTTAGCTGACCTTCCCTGGCCAAGAATAAGATGGAAAGGTTTTTAGTATGAAGTATGAAGATATTCCCAGCTGCCAGAACAGCACACAGATTTGTAAAAGAAGTATCAAAACTGATTTTAATTGAGTATGGAAATGTCTCTGTGTGATATCTTGAGTAGAATCAGTAAAGCAATGGTTACAAAAATGACACGTGATGATCAAGGACACAAATAAGAGCAATCAAACTGGTAAACACTGACAAATGCAGTGTTCACCTCAAGACCAAAAGGCCTGGGCTCTGAGAGGCCTACAGCAGAAATGCCTTATCTACAGAAGACCTGCCTTCGGGTAACAGGAAGAAGGCAGCAAGTTTACAGTAAGTCATACAGGCCATTCTTCTTTCTGTTAGCTCAGCAGATAGGAAGACAGTTACTTCAAAAGGATGGAACAAAGACAACAGGCAGTGAGCTTGCCCAAAACTTACGGACGATGAAATAAAAGACTAAGACAAAAAAAAAAATCATAATAACTCACTCCTAAAAGGCATAGAAAATCTGTCTAAAAACTGCTTTGATGCTACCCAAGGGAACCCAAGAGATGCAGTGGGGACCTGACAGCTGCCATTCCTTGAACTTCGTGTCATAGCACACGTGATCCTGGCCCGACTATTTGGACACATGCATTTTGGGGCTTTTGAGTAAAGGGGTATGACAGAATGACTGTGAGTGACTGAAATCAGTTTTCTTTAAATACTGTTTTACCCTTCCATAAGCTCTTTCACTGCATTTTGTAACATTTAATTCCTACACCAGGATCAATGTTGCAATCAGTTTTACAGTCAGTCATACTTGCACGTCCTGTAGTTTGTTTCAGCAGGAGGTCATTTCAAGTCAACACTTGCATGGTGACTAAGCACCTGTCTTTGGGACAGGCTGTTGGGTTTGTTGGATGTTGACACCTTTCCACTCATTGTAAATACACAAGGTGTGGCAGCTGCCTTGAAAAAAGTAAGTCTAGATTTAGACTTAGCCTTAGCTTCCTTGAGTGATTTGTTGCATTTTCTTCCTCTGTCTTATTTCAGGAGAAAGATGTGTTATCCTCCTCCTTCCATGTCAAAGCCAAGCCACCCCCATCATTTTTCTAACCTTCTGTCAATAGACTACGTATATGCTTTACCAGATTCTGACTTCATGCACAATCTTTTCAACATGCCTTTCTGCAGCAGTTATAAATGTTGTTGAATACTGAATTCAATGAGGCAAGAACAGCTTCAATTTTATACCTTACAGTGTGTATAGCTGGTAAGAGTTACCAATTCAATGAGTAGTTTTCTACTTCTACTTGCCTCTCACTCCCCTGTCTTCATTTGTGATACTGTTCATGCTACCATTCGAGGTAGGAATATTTCTGAAATTAGTAGACACACTGAGGGATGTAGGAAGCTGTGAAGCAGAAACTGTAGTGCCCTTGTTGCAAAGTAACCCTATCAGAAATAGCTTTACCCTGAGCATGAATTGGTAACACCTGGCTCAGAACATACATTTTCATAGCAGTAGTAGGTACGTGAGTGAACCAAGGAAACCTTGTCTTGCCCATGAGCACAATCATGACTGATCATGAGATGTGATCACACTGCTACCAAGTACTATTTTTTTCTCCATTTAGTTTCTGCTTCCGTGGATACCCTTCTTCCTCCCCTTCAACAACCAGACACCCACCAAACGACACGTACTTAATACTGAGCACATAACTCCCACTAACTGGTATTGCTGAAGCGCAAAGGCTTATATCCTTTCTGGTTTTAAATGACTGTAATTACAAGTCTACCTGTCCTTGTTATGCATATAAAGGCCTAACGATTTTTTGTTAGGATTGCCAAATGCCTGACCTCAATGATACTCTGTACCAATTAGCTGTCACATTAGTCAGGTGTTGCCCGAAGTACAGCTATGCCCATGAGCTTTTGTATCGGATACCCTGTCCCTCGACTGTGTAAGACTAAAATTCCTAGCTCTGCTAAGTATTTTTGTTTTTCCTTAAGCCATTCTGACCATGCCGCTCACGGGCTACCTATTTTTATGCACAAGTTTTGCAGCAAACGCCCCTTACTTCACTTTCAGAAATCGTCACGATCACACAGCTGTAGATGTAGTAACGTGAGACAAAAGGTGTTCCTCCCGCAGCACGTCTCCCTCCCTAAATGCGTGCTGCCAGCCGGGACCAGAGGCCTCAGCCCGCACCTGCGGGGCGCCCTACCTGTCCGCTATGCCTCACACGGGCCAGGCCCGGGCCGCGGCTGCGGCACGGGCCGCGGCAGCCGGGGCCCTCCGAAAGGCAGGGGGTCCGCCACATTTACAGAGGTTTCTGCGGGGCCGGGCCCCCAGCGGGGCCGTCGCGGCTGAGGGGAG